ATTAATCTGCCAGTTTAAGTCACTATGCTGACTACATGCTAAAATTTTCCATACATAATGGTATATAAATTATATTTTTTACTATTGGCTAAATGGTTAAGTTTAATGTTAAAAAATATAAAGCAGCAGGCTGATGTACCTTGGAGAAAGGATTGCAGACCTTAGAGAGATCTCCATCATCTGGCCCATTTTGGGGATGTGCTCAGTGGAGATGATTCAGTCAGTGGGGAGTACACTTTTTTTTTTTTTTTTTTTTTTTTCAATTTTGTAACTAGGTAACAAAACACAGTCTTTGTCCTTAGTATTTTATTGCTTTTACCATGAGCAAAAAAAGTGGGTTTAAATTAGAAAACCTGAAAGCTTCCCTGTAACAGAGTAAGGGAGGTCAAACTAAAGGTCACTTCTAACTGCTGCAAAAGGAAGCATAAATATTTGCTATAAAAAGGCAAAGCGCTTACATTCTATTCTGCTCTATATACAGCACATTGTGGAGCAGAAATTGCAGAACATTATATTTTTTGAATGCATATTTTATTTTTGCTACAGATAAGAGTGAGAAGGTGGGTAGGAGTTGTGTGGGAGGAGAAGTGATAGGAACTGGGTGGCAAGAGAAGTGTCTAAACTGTTTGTGAGGGAAAGCAAACACCTCCTCACAAAAATGATAGCATGACAAGGCACTAACACAAGACAAAATCAGACCACTGTTGGAGATCACCCTCCCTCTAAAAGCGACAGCCTTGTACAAAAAGACAAGAGGCAATAGAGAACTGAGATGTTCATATACCAGTGTTGTATAATATGCTAGATCAAGAGGAAATTGATATAGAATTCGGCAATTAATATCCAATTCAAGTCAGGCAATAGGAAAAATGGGAGCACTGATTTATTTTAAGTACTGCATGTTCTCCCMCAGTGCAACCTGTTCTCTCCTATCCTTATTGCACCATTATCCTATTATTTCCTTAGGGTAGATGGTTGGATGCGTTACTCCAGGCTTGTTCCAGACTCCTGCATGAAGTTCCCCAGTTCCCAGAGCAAAAACATGTTTTTGTCTCTTGGTCCTACTTCTGAGCCACACTTTATCTTGCTACTAAAGCATTCCTTCAGGAGAACAAAATAAAATTGATACTGTTTTTATTGTCCATGATTTTATTTAACTTTTCTCTGTGCTCAAGTAAGAGGAATAATCCAACGTATATAATGGAAACATGCATGAAAGATGAGATTCAGTGTGTGTTTAAGACTCCCAAATATAGGCAGGCACATGAGTGCTAAGTGTTTAAAGTCAACAGACACCCAATCACCAGAGTCAATGAAGCCTGTAGAGCAATTCAGCTCACTCTTGACACCTTGTAGTTGGCCATCTGAACTGATCTCCAGCCTTCTTTGACTGCAGTTGGAATTAGACACTTGGAAATATGTAGCAACTTTAAGAATCAAGAATTATAAATATCAAATATTAAAGCATAGCTTTTTGGTGTGGCTTTCACATTCAGTCAAACTTTTTGATTGAATATGATTGTATTTTCTCCCCTAGGACTTTGCCCTGAAAAAATTACATCATAGTCCCTGTTTACCTCTTTTCTAAAAATATGAGACTTGTGCAACTGCCTATCAGCAAAGATGTATGCACAATGTATGGCCTTATAGCTCTTGCAAATCATTTGTGCACAGGCAGATGATTTTCATTATACAACAAAATATTGCCTAACATTGATAGACCATATAATTTAGCATGGTAAGTAGAATTTTAAAGTGCAAGGATGTCATCAAGGAACATTATATTTGTCCTATAGATTGTATTTCCCTAATAGATGGAGAACCTGGGGTTAGATCAGAGTGCAAGCTGCCTCTAACTCTAGTCCTAGCCCAGACTTTCTGCAAAATTCTAGTAAGTCGATTAATATAATTTCCAGTGTTATATGTCAATTAGTATTTTAAATACTATTTGATAATGTTTAGATTAGACTTAATAAAGTAAATAGGTTTCGGGAAGCATATATTCACTCATATTGTTAATATTTACATTACTATATTTTAAAGACAGAATCAAGAAGGATTTGTTTTAGTAATTAATCACAGGAATATAGGGAATTACAGCAACAAGAAACCAGCATTAAAAAGTATTGGAGGGGGGAAGCAAAAAATAGTTTATCATAATACTGCAATTTAATTCATTTTTTGCTATTTGAAACACTTTGCCATTTGAAACCCTTAATTCTTTTATTGCATTTTCCATTTTCCATTATTTGCCTTCAGGGTTCAGCTATGATTCATTTTGTCTCTCTGCACAAAAGCATTTTGAATATCTCTCTGATTTCTGAGATATGTTTTCAACATTTTCAGTCAATTACATATAAAAATATGGCTATCCCTGTTATTCCTAAGATTTTGCTTAGTTTACCGAGGCAGATCTCTGTCACTGCGATCCTGTGGTGCCATCTGGTGGCATTTGGGAAAAGTAAACTGGAATTTCAGGCCTTGTCCAGATGGCTAAGTCAAAGCTTCCAGAGGAGCCTGGAGGGCTGTGTGCTTGGGATCCTTCCCATTGTACAACCCACAAAATAAGGGTCTCATCAAACTCCACCGCTCTGTACACAAGGCAACACATTAGCTTCTATACAGGCTTGCAATAATATATAACCTATCTGAGCATTGGCCCTTGGGGCCTCTAAGTCTCCTATGTAACTCCTATGGAGTTACTTACTCCATAAACAAGACATGAGCACCATATATTCAGCTGTCCTTGCTCTCTTGAACTACAGGAATGGCACTGGGATGGTGAATTCAGCTCTTAGTAGGTGAGTACGCACTTCTCTCAGTCAGTCAATCATTTTTCCCCATATTTGCAGCACAAGAATGAAGAATGTGCCATGATCCTCTTCCACATAGGAGCCTGTAGCTTAGGAATGTAAGTTACCTTGCTCAAGGTCAAACTGATGGGTGATAGAGAAATCAGAAATTTAATCCAGAAATTTAGAAATTTAGGCTCCAAAGCCTAAATCACTTAGTACATTTCCCGTTGGAAAGAATCGTGACCAGCCTTAAGTAAGTTAATTAGAAATACTAGTTTTAAGGGCACTATTTGATCTTGGTAAATCAGATTTGTCCTATTTCAAGAAGCAAACAGAAAAAACTATTTCACTAAGATCATAAATGTTTCTGATGGATGAGGCAAGAAGGAATAAATGGAAAGAAGCAGACCTATTCTGTGGAGCCCTTATAAAATTAAGGTATCTGGGACCCCTCACCAGACACTTATCCAAGATTAATCAGCTCTAAAACTAGCTTGTGCATGACATTTGTTTTGCTTAAATATGGAAAATGGAGTAATAATGGTTATTTGTGACTAAGTAAGTCAGCCTTGCTTGACTTGGTGATTGCCTGAGGATATGCATGCAGTCTAATTTAGTAATAATTTCCATCCCACTCTGCTCAATGAACAAATAAGCTTCTTTTGCATGACAAGTAAATGCTGCRGCTACCCTGGCAAGTTTAATTAGAACTTATGGAAAACATTGCTATGAAAGAGACAAAAACCAGACCTCCAAATTCAAGTGTAGCAGCTCACCACAGTGCTATTTATGGTCATTTAGAAATAAAGGAAAAATGAAAATGGATTTTTAAAGTTGTTTCTGATCTACAGATCTCTGAGAACAATGTACTGTGAAAGGTTTTGATCTCATCGTCATCTTCCAATCAACCTCCTCTTGAGGTCATCTAGTCAAGCAGAAAACAAATTGCATAAATGCCCTGAAGAAATTTCCATTTTTATTTTTCAGGCTGCTTGTCTGTGTTCTCACTGGCACAAACATTTGCCTGCCTTTTTGTTGATAACTATGAAGGAGTCTATCTGGATGGCTATTTAGGTAGTTTTCTACGAGCTTCCTACTTAGGCTTGTCTTGAAAGCACTTAAATATCTCTTAGTTGCTCTTTCTCACTTTTCTCACTATATTTGCTAGGGGAAGGTGTAGATAAAATATATCACTACAGTCCTCATTACTTCAGGTTACTGTAGAGTGGGGCGGCGTGTGACATAGCCTCGTGGGTGGCACTTTCATCTGGGATGAATAATTCCTGGGTGCCAGTTCTTTGTCTTCGGGCTGTTGCTGTACTCCACAAGAAAGAGCCACAGCTACAACATTCTGGTGTAGTTTCCTTCTTTTTCTGTAAGGTGGCACCACGTGAAAGGAAACTTCCTTACTTTTCCAAGACCTTCATTGTCATTCCARAATCTTTTACATTCAGGTTGTTCCAATCAGATGTTCAATTACTTGACACAGTCTAAAACATGAATGCTCTGTTCTTGAATTGTGTGCTAGCAATTTACAYATGAAAGGAAAATTAAAATGACAATTCTGAAACTAAGTATGCAAAATATAACCCCAGGCTYTCTGCCTTTCTGCCTTTCTATTGTCTAACATCTGAAAATGAATTTCAGTGTGATCATCAAATTCATTAGAGGAGCAGAGATAATGAACCTAATCTAACRAATCTTTGGCTTGTACCAGAGCACTTGCTAAGAAGTTCGGTGCCCACTAGGTGGCACCCACAGTCTGGACAATTTTCTCATAGCACTTTTTCTCCTCAAAGAAAAGATAAAACAGAAATATCTTCGGACTCAGTGGTGCCTTTTTGGGCAAAATGGAAATGGATAATGGGATAGATTGGGAGGTGGTGAGGTCTGCGTAGCTGCTGGCCTCTTCTTTGGGTTGTTGCCATACTGCAGGAGAGTCCCATTCTGAGCTCAGTACAGCTAACACCGTTAACAACTGCATAAAAAGCAAGAAAAAGCAACTCTATGAAAAGTAAGAGCAAACAAATAAAATATTCAAGGGTGAACTCTTGCCAGCTTGGATTTAACTAACAAATGGATTACCATTTTAAGCAAGAAACAGCACAGCCTTCAAGCCAAGAAGCCTTCATTGCGTGTCCCATGTAATAGAGGCAGAGAAGAAGAAAAAGTGATTGGCTGATGAAACCAAAGGCAGATACTCACAGATAAGATCTGATCTCCTCTCTGCAGTTCTCCGCTGAGATCGGCAGGCCCGCCCGCRAGGATGAAAGACACGAAAATGCCTTCCCCATCTTCGCCGCCCACAATGTTAAAACCAAGTCCTGTGGAGCCCTTGTGCAGGATGATTTTTCGAGGCTCTCTGTATAGAAACAAAATGATAATGTTTATCCATTCAAAACTTTGAATATGCATCTCTTAAGATATATTCAGCATACTAGTAAATGTTATCTATGACCCAGTGGGCATGCTACTACGTAAGGAAATCACTTAATAAAACATATAGATATATTATTTGGAGACCAGAGAAAGTAGGAATTAACCAGGAGCCTTTTTCTTAACTCATGGGTGAATCCAAACTTCTCTGTGAACTCCTTTCAATCGCAGCAGTCTTCACTTAGTTAAGCAGTGAATTTCTTTAAATAAATAAATAACCTTGAAGAGATTTTATAATCTTGTTAATAGTGATTCTGTATACACAAATGCAATCCATATTGCCCTTGTTGCTTTTGAGAGTTAATCGTGCTTTTTAAACAAACGAACCAAGAAATTCAAAAAGTCTAGGCAAGGAAATAGCAAACACGTTCAATCCAAGATTTGGAGCACATAATATTTATATRATCAATTCAGAAGAAACTCATGCAAAGGTCTGGTTTGACATCATCAGAAGTCGCACTTGTAAAGTCACATAACAGTGTTACTGCTGAACCGAGATCAAGGATGTTTGCTTCTTTTTACAATTTTTAAAAGTTCTTCATAATGATGGAAATCAATAAATAATAACTGTTACACGGCACTTTTGATTTGTCGATTGAAAGTATGTCTCAAAGGAAGTTAAGTTCATAATGTGCATTTTACTGATGGGAAAGCAGACAGAGAAGGTAACTCTCCTAGCAATCAAGGTAGTTTAATTGAGACAGTGTCCCAGGAACCTGATTTCCAGTCTTTACTGTATGCACRAGGTCTCAGATCTGCCTCTGTGCTGGGTACAGAGCACAGACAGGCATATMTGCAAACACACACCAGATTTACACATACCTACCTAATTTCAAATCCCTCTAATAAATTTACTCTCCAGAAAATGAGTGCACAGGCCATTACATGAATATGTGAAAAACTTAGGCCCAGTCCTGCAAATGTTCACAGCYATGTAGACATAACTCATCTGCGATTTCTCACAGAAATACAGAATCTTAGAATTCTTATTTTTTTTTCAAATAGTGATTACAAGCAAAAGGACAAGCATAAGCACACACACACATAAAAACTTGCAAGAATCATATTCCAGAATGTATTTACTATGCATCAGATAATGGTTTTATACAGACAGTGGTTCTATATAATAGGAATGGTATTTCCTTCCTTCCTTCCTTCCTTCCTTCCTTCCTTCCTTCCTTCCTTCCTTCCTTCCTTCCTTCCTTCCTTCCTTCCTTCGAGAGGGCAAAGTGATGCACTAAGGTATGTCATTTTTGATGTGTGTGAAGTTGTATTATTATATAAATGGAAACAGTTTTTATAGAATACTTTCAAAATCAGTAGGAATTTGTTCAGCTTTGCCCGGAGCTAATGCTCATACAATATCTCCAGTTCGATCACAATCCTTAGTTAACACCTCTGTTTGCTGATACTTAAGCTTGATATTTTTTAAAAGAAACGAATTAAAGAATATTGTCTAAGGGTGTTTTAAAAAGAAGATTGCAAGCCCTACTGAAAGTGTTAGTCCTACTCCATACAGCATTCCATCTTATAACATATTCTTAACTTTATACAACCATAAAACAACGTTAAAAATATATGTCTCTGAAAAAAAAAATTGTATTTGTATCAGGATATATTTGTATATCCTTGAAGTATTCTTAAACAACAAGAAAGGGATTTTTTTCTCCTTTAGATCATTGTAATTGATTTGTTTTATAGTACAATTTAGCACCTCCTTAAATACGTGCAGATTGGGTATAATGTAATCCAGCAGTAAGAAGCCTACACAGACTTTTAATTAGGAAGTGTGGCCTAAGGGTTGGGACTGAATTAGGACAGTGGACTGGAGGAGCAGGTTCCATCCCCAGCTTAGTCCATGAGCTGTGGAATGATCTTGACAAGTCACTCATTTCTTTCAGCCTCAGTTTCCTCAAAATAATATGGTGATGCTTGTCTTAATTTTTGAGTCCTACAGATCAAAAATGCTTTGTGAGAGCTGAGCTACTACCATTATTATTTACTGGGATCTTGAGGAAAAAGAGGTAATGAAGAAGTCAAACAAATATTTTTGCATTCTCTGCTGGTGGTTAATCACAACAGTTCTTGTAAAAACTGAGATTGAGTATTTGCAGACATGACAGGCAACTTAGATCCTAATGGTGAAAACTGGTGATTTCTGCAGTCAGTGTTATTGGCAAAACTAGGTCAATACTACTGGGTATCTCCTGAACACTCAGCTGTAGAGCTCAACAAAAAGTTGGCCCAGTTATTAAACCCGTGTATCTGATCAAGTCAGCAGATATCTGCCTGAAAGGCTGTCAGCACTGCTTTGTAATTTTGGCTATTTGACAGCAAAATTCACATTTTGTTCTTGGATGATTATGTTCGGAGGAAGCTCAAACAATAACGGGGACGTGGCAGAAGCTGTGATTCAAACACAACCGTTTTTGGCTCTCGGTCTAAAGCTTAATCAGGTCAATTTGGCCACATCTGAAATTTGGCCGAACAACGAGGCTGACCAGCAGTGCCAAACGTTCAGTTTTGCTTCATTTCTGAGTGTCTTGTGGAATCTAAATGGGCATCCAACAATGTGCAAGTGCTATTATCCTGATGACAGAAACGATCTTTGGTGATGGTTGTATTGCAAAAACTACAGAAAACAGAAAGTATATGCCAGTTCACTAAAATATATAATAAAAATAGTTAATACCTGCATACTGCATTTAGCCTGAAAATGAACTAATGATGATGACAAAACTTTGCAGCATGCTATGAAGTAGGAAGAAAGTTTCCTACTTTCACAAACTATCAAACCAGCAGTTGATTCGGGGGTCTCTTATGAGTATCATATTGCTTTACTTGAACTCAAAGAAAAAATCTATGATAAGGCAAAAGATGAGTATGCAACATTTATTATCTGACATATAAATTTATAGTCATCTTCTATGTTTCCTTTGAGACAATAGGTGGCACTCGACAGCTTCTAAAAGCCTTCAGCTTTACTGAAGGCAAGTCTCTGCTGCCAGCTTTAATCCGTGACCACATTTACAATTTCTTCTGTGATAAGCACGGGTGAAGGTAAGTTTCTAGGTGCAAACAAAGCACACCGGCACTTTAATTTGGTGTGTGCATATTTTATGCCCTCCTGCAGCTCCATAGCAAACACAAACAGAGATGAGTAGCAGAAGAAATCAAATCAAGAAGAAATTGGTAAAGTAGTAAAGAGAGTGAGATGAAAACAGCTCTGTACTGACACAAGGAAACAGAAGGTAAAAAATATAAAAGCAAAAAAAAAAAAACAAAAACAAAACAGAGCAAGAAAAAGGTAAAAAGTGCAAAAACTGTGTCTATAAAAAGACAGGAGAAGAATAAAAAATAAAAAATGTGGAGAAAGAGGAAGGGAAGATTCACTGCAGAAATCACAAACAGAAGCAAAGCTGCACACAAAATGCTGCATTCCAACACAATTTTCCAAGCCTGGAAATCAACGACAAAATCAGGTTGGATGGACTTGATCACTTGCTGTAGGGAACGTGACCAATCTCTTTCCTGTAAAGCACATTATAAATCGCAGGCCTAATGTAAGAGTGAAATATAAGCTAATTAATATTTGAAACAATCAGTAGTAACAAACTCAGGTGGGTAAGACTTCAATACTTAGGAACTGTTCTTTTTTACATAAAAAAATGTGATTCATTTTTTTAGCTTACGTTTGTTTTATGCTTGTATTTAGTATGCTCGTATTAGTATTTGTTTTGATGGTTTTAACAAAAAGAAAATGACATGATAAAAACATGAATATCCCTGCCATTTTCTATAGGCTGTAAATCCATAGTAATTGAGGATTTAATTTAAGAGAATAAAAACTGGTTTGATAAATGATGGGACACTGCCTTAAGAAAACAACTCTTACAGCTAACTGGAAGGATACAGCTTTCTAATTTGCCTTTTTCATGCTGCTGGCTATGTAAAATAATATAGTTAGCTTTATTATTCATCTTACTGTGACATATCTCTATTTGAGTTGCATTATATATTCAGGTTATATTGAGTTGCATTATATATTCAGGGTGCTGAAACGACTTTGTGCCTTTTAGTACCTCCACAGAAATACTGAGATCACCAATCACTTTCAACACCATGGTAAACTCAAGATATTTCTTCAGGTTGAGACACTCAGTGAGGAACCTCAAATCAGTGAAGACTTAGAAATGTAGCTTTGGTCTTGCTTCGTCTTCAGGMCTTTTTTGCCCCCCAAAAAACCTTTTTGCTATATAAAGATATTGAAACGATACATCCATTACTGCACATGATGGTCTTGTATTGTATTAATTAATGCATTTCATATAAACGCCATTAGGATAGTTATTTCTCATGCTGCTTGTGTCCCAGCAGGGCCCAGGGTCCCCCAGTAGGGCCACTTGTAGTACCCCCCTGTACTGCAAGACAAAATCTCCGWCTACTAAAGGAGCAAATAGCAGAAGAAAAAACACTGAAGCAGACTGAAATTAATTTCATCAGTTATGGCCATGCATTAGTAGCAGAACAAGGGAAAAACACTAAATTTCAAGGCATATTCAAAGACCTTTATTGAGTACTGGAAGGTGAGCACTGAGCTGAGCCTTCTCAGGCAAGGGGCTAATGTGGCCATTTTCAATASAGCACTTTCAATTCTCCTCTAGCACTTTTAGCACATTTTAATAAATCACTTTGCATGTTTATTTTGGATAGCTAAAGGGCACCAACACTGCATAGACTTGAAAAAGGCAATTGAGATGATAGAGACTGCTTTCTTCTCTTAAGAGGATTCTGCTTAATTGCATCGAGTGGAGGAAGCTAGGATGAACAGAGAATGTGCCCTTGCATAAGATGTTTTAAAATATGATTAATCACACATGGCAAAATTTGAAATATGAAATGGCTGAAGGCTTGGTATTGAGCACCCACATGCCTGTATTTRAAAGATACTCGCTGCAAACTTTCTGTTCCTCCAGATCCCTGTGCTTTAACAGGAGAGGCTTAACATTTTACACACTCCTACTGCATCTGACCCTGCAGGGTCTGATTCTTTACCTGTGCCTTTAACTATTGGGTTTTTTTCAGCTATGATTGAAAATAACAAAAATAAGGAAACGTTCCTTCTATCGATTGTTGTCACACTGAGCATCACCGTCCAGACAGGCAGTTTTGACCTTCTCAAATAGAGACAAYGATTTGGGCAGGTGCAATGTGTTCATTTTCATCACAAACTGTAATTGCTCTGTAAGATGCTATTTCATTTCACTAAATATTCTCCTTTTCATATACAAGCAGCTAAGGCAGTCAGACCTTTATAAGATATTCATTTATTATATCACATAGCATACTATAATTTTGTTAGTATAGTTATCCTTTCTGCTTGAAAGGAGTATTTTTCTTGGCCATTTGATTACRGCTTCCTTGGCATTTCTTGTTGATTGATTGTTGGGGTTAGCTGTGGAARCAATACTTTATCCTAACTTTAGGGCTGACTACATTTTTATGCAGTTATTCTCCAAACATCATGTCTAACTTGTCACAAACTTTGAAGTACATTTAATACAAGGGAACCTACTGGGAGCCAGGCTTCAACCTGAGTGATATATGCATGAGTGCACTGGTTTATACATGTTCAACTTTGTTTGTTTTGTGGGAACCCCTCTGGACTTCGACAGTCTTTCATTTTGTCCTTTGTAGAGAAATGAAAGGCTGCACATCAGGCAATATTTTCTGCTTGCAGCCAGCGTGATGGAGCTGGCATACAGGATTAATTTCTTATTTGAGATGTGAAACTGGTCTGTGTTTTTACCTTGATGCCTGACATTCATCTTAAAYGCATAGGAGTAAGTGTCCCAGATTTGAGAAATCTGAGTGAGCTCTACAGAGGCAACGCTGGACAGCTCACAGTCTCTGTAACTTTGAAGAGAGATGAGTATTCCAGTACAGTCATTCATTTACAGTTTGTCTCACATAAGCATGTGTGTCTCCACAGTATAGGAGGTGCATTATTTATATGCCAAATAATCACATTATTAGCATATTACTTATATGCTAATAATCAACACAGTAAGTGTTGAAATCTGCATCTCTGTTCCACATGCTGTACCAACAGAGCAACTCTATCCTGGAAACCTTGCTTTACACCCTGCTTTCAAAAAACCTATTAGTTATACATCAAAACTACTTTTATACAATGCTTTTCAGGGGTTGTTGGCTCTGTTTACCATGAATGCTCTAACTTTTGAGTTCAGAAGCAAAGCCGGATGAAATGGAGATGGTGAGAGGCAAGTCGAATCACGCTGTCAGGACACAGGAACAATTCAAAGGCTAAGAAAATGTCTAAAAATAGCAGCACCTCTAAGCAATGTTTTGAAATATCAATACACAGTCCTTCWGTAGCAAGCACCCAGGATTCCTTTATATACAGGATACTCTGGAAACACAAAGCAGCCTGRAATAGTTTTCTTGTTCAGAATAAAAATTCTTACCCTTGGTCATGGTTCAAATGCTGTTTATTTATATATCAACATTTATATATATATATATAAAAGACACTTAGTCATATAGAGAAATTATTTTAAAATTTCCATCAAAACACTCATAAAATAAGTTGAAAACCCAGCTTCTAAGCAGCTCAGCAGAAGAGATAACTGGTATAAATGGTAGTGTGTAAGATATAGTTTAGTCCAATCATCTACATCATAGAAAGAATAGCTATTACAAGACTACTAAAATCATAGCTTTGTCAGACAGCACACCAGGATTTCCAAATAAGAAATTTTCATTTTCATCCACTATTTTCCCCTTTTAGATTTTTACAGTTAATATTATTCATTAAAATCATTCCAAAAAAAAATAAGATTAACAGTATTTCCCAAGCAAACAGTATAGTTTTCTTGTTTTTAAACCATGCAAATAAAACATTAGGAAAATCACCARTGAGACTGGGCTAACCTTAGAAAATACTTTTGATCAACACTGACAGCACACACCTGTGAAGTTCATGCTTTTATATGTAGGATAAATCTGTTCACCTCATGCTGTTACTGAACTGTGAAGTGGCTTGAATACATAGTAAGCTTTCAAGATATTTTTATTTTTATTTTTATTTTTATTTTTATTTTTATTTTTATTTTTATTTTTATTTTTATTTTTATTTTTGTTTTTATTTTTATTTTTCCTTTGCTACCTATTCTTTGCTATGTGTGAACTCCACAAAAGCATGCCTTAAAAATAAGAATTGGTTTTAGGTGTGATGTCATTACCTAGGTTTAAAAGTCTGCTTTGGACAGCTCAGTTTCCACACATTCAACACGATGGAAAGGAATAGGTACCAGTGAATCCACATCTACCTTATATTTCTTTATCCCAGCCAGTTTCAGTTCTACTTCTACATATTTCAGTTATTCTATTTCAGAACTACTTAAATCTACACAGCCACATACAGCCAACAAGCAGGCCACATATCTAGGCATGTGCCAGAAAGCCTCTTGAGTAAAGCAGCCACAAAGTGCATCTCAAAAGCAGTATTAAGAATCACTTAAATAGAGGGCTGATGGAAACCCAGTTCCTAAAGGAGAGCAATAACAAATTTTATTAACTATAAACATATTTAGCAGCACGGACTTCACCAAAACACTAGTGTGAATTGAGGATTGATATAATGAAATATTTAGGGCTGAGCTGATTACTTACATTTGCTCAGCAGCATAAAATTCTAACAGATCCACTTTCCCATGTAAAATGAAATACGACTCAGTTTAAGCTGATTAGTAATAATTACAAGCCACATATTTTTCTATCTTCCAAACAGCAGGAGACCTGCAATATCAATAGCTCTAATGACTCATACATAATATATGCAAGCTGTCTGCATGGCCAGCACATACTTTGCAATTTATCAAAAAATTCACGTAGGCAGATTGATATCCAAATTCCGATAGGAATTCTAACCACAGGGTACCTTATGAATTATGGAGTCCAGTAGATCAAGTCAAAGACACCATCATAAAGTGTGTTTCCTTACTTCTCAATTTAGCAATTTTTTTTTGAAGAGAGAAGGGAAGAATCACTATTTTAATTGACAAGCTTGCTGTTGAAGCCAGCTTTTTTTTTTCCTTATTTCTAACATCAATTTATTTTGCAGTTGACCCGAGGAAAGGGCAAGAGGAGGCAATAGGTGCCTCTCTGATGTCCCTCAGTGAAAACAGAGATTTAAAAAAAAAAAGTTCAAACTGAGGTTGGTTGAGCACTGGGACAAGCTGCCCAGGGCTTGGGCAACCTCCACCTTTGGGTGACAGTTGCAGCTCCACTGGACAAGGCCCCGAGCAATGAGATCTAATTTTGAAATGAGCTTTGAGCAAGGAGGGTGGATGAGAGGCCTCTGTGCAGATGCAGGGGAACAGGAGTCTGTGAAGAAGCTCAGGCTTCATTTATAGAATTACCTCCCAAAGGAGAGCCCTGAAACTGCACCCACTTTTCAGGTCATAGCTTCATTATTCTTATTCTTGTGAACACTGTTTTCTGTGAAAAATTAATAGAGTCGTTCTCACATGTTTAATTAAAAATTAAAATAATTACTAAACCTTTTTTTCAGTTGCTTAAAACTATTTCGTTTTCACACTTTTGAGACAAATATCTTGGATTTCACTTAGGATTTTTTYACACACATCATCATTTTACTTTCTGACTGCACCACAATAAAGATGTAACATAAAAACATAATACAAAAAGCACATAAAACAAAATACAGGCAAGATGACATCTTTTCTGTGTGGGAAATTTAGATTCCTACTTTWATCACAGCAAAAAAAGGCTTTAAAATAGGGTCTGAGGGTAGCTGATGACGAGATATTACCCAACCCTACAAAATAATCAAGAATTTCCACATTTTTTTCCAGGCTTACATTCACTGATTTAGGATGCTTCACCAAATCATGGCCTTTGCCCCCAGGCAAAGCTCCAGTGAATCTTTTCCTACAGAACGTTATTTGGAGCCCTATTTTATTAATAAATCCAAAGCATGAATTTATTTGTGTGCATTTAATATGAAAGGCAGAGATATCAAAGAAGTGGGGCAGGTTGTTTCAGTGCCTTGAACAGTCTAACACAGCTCAGGTTTGAAAGCATAATAAAAAAGCCCAGGGATTACTTGCTTATTGGGTCATTTGTACCTAAAAAAAAAGAAAGGGAGTGGATAATTTGATTCAATGTTAAATATGAGTTTTTCTGGTATCATAAAGATGCAAGACTTTTAATTACAGTCGTGAATAACTCACATTTTACCAAAATAGTTTTGTTAATGTGGAGTCAACTAAGTCCTCCAATCTAGGTTTATGCAGTTAATTCATATATAGACATTGTTTATATATATTATTATATACACATACAGAGAGTAGTATGGGATTATTATTCTTTATCAGTACTTCTACATTAATTTTTGGACACTGTTAGCTTTGTCAAAAGGAGTTCATGCAAATATTAAGACAAGAGAATAAGCCTTGGGGGATTTTCATGATTAGTGGGAATCGTTTTACAGCTAACACATGTAAATATTAGCTCTAGCTGAGTGAGGTGAATTGAAGTAGCAGTAGGCAGCACATCCCCACGACACATGTTCTTGGCTCCATGAAGGCCAAACCTTTCACTAGAAATATCTCAAAAGAGCTAATAGCGACTCAAACACACTTATGTTTACTTGTACATCTCACAGATTTAATCAGTGTGGCATGCGATAATACATGTCGTTAGCTTGTGTGTCTACGGGAATAATTCAGTTTTTGGCTTAGTGTTATGTGAGAACTCTACAGGCAGCTTCGACAGAGAATCATCTTACCCTTCCACAGAAATGGTCCGCTGTAGGCTCACCGTGGGTGGACGCGTTGCCGTGCTGTGCTGGGAATGACTGTACGGCCAAGGAAGAACAGAGAGAAGTATTCGTTAAAGGAATAGGAATTACTCTTGCTCCTATTTGTCTCTATCAATTTAGATAACACCAGAACAGAAATAACAATCAGATTATTCTATATGACCCGAATGCATTTTGACCTCAGTGATGCTGGTCTGTTCATAAAAAGGCTCAACCCAATGATCTGTTGCTTAACAACAGGTCTCATTCTTCATTAAAAACAGATAARCAGGAGAATAATTTGCAAAGTACTTAGGTAATTCAGAATTTCATTGTAATTCTCAAAAATGCACTAATCATAAAATACAAAACTGATCTGAGAGTGAAAAGTATGACAGTAAAACATGATTTTCTGTATCTAATTCTTAGTGTTTGCCAGACAGAATGCTTAGTGCAGTATGCATGTTACTTATAATTGCACCACCGTATAACTCTGAATTGTATAAATTTCAGTGCTCACTATGCCTATTATTTCTATGAGGTTTTTAGATAGCTTATGTTGTTCCACATAAAATTTTATCAACCTGAGGCACAACATTTATAAAAAGTATGAAATTTTCTAAGTAAAAAACAGCCTTTGTGAAAACAACATTAACAGCAGAAAAATTATTTTGATTTTAAAACCCGAGGTCTAATGGCTTATCATCTTCTCTTGTGTGCTGTGTTGTCATGACTCAGAAACCTCAAAAATTGTTATTATCTTACATAAAGAGASTATATTATGCAGTATACATTAAATTCAGTATTGTACTATGACCTATAGGGCACTATTGACTACCTGTATGTAAACATAAATTGATAGTAACACAATTGGAACTGCCAAAATGAAAAATAGGCCATTCTGATCCTTGCATTAGATTCTCAGGCACCTTAACAGCAATGATACATTTTGCTTATGATTCAACCGACTTTGAGGACTGATACTTAACCCAGTTTATTTAGTGTGAAACTTAAAGATTATAATCTCTCAGACAGATCATATTGTTTAAAATCATTTTATGTAAAGGATGAATAAGGATGGAGATTTTAGACAATTTATGATTCATGATGGCTTTATAAAAGAACTGATGTTTGACACTGCAYACTCTTTGAAAGGGAACAAACTACCTCTCTGCTCATATACTGACCCAAACCTAAAGCAGATATTGTTTGCACTCATAAGTTTACTCTTACTCTACACTTTTCATTGGGAAGCATTTTTATAAATACAAACTATTATTCTATAAAATTCCAAAGGCTGTCAAAAACACTAACTATAAACTCGCTCAACTATATCATTGTTGGAACGTAAAATAGGAATGAGAGCAAATATTYACAGATATGATTAGGAGAAGCAGGTTCCTTGATTTTGGGGGCACAGTCTAAAATATTTCCAGAGAGTCATCTCCTTTACCAAAATTCATCCGTTTCAGTAAATCAGGTGCATAAGGTCTTATTGGAGGAGTACCCAGTACCCCAATCACTCTGTGCAGCTGTGTGATTATTGACACCAGGKCATCACTCCTACTGGGCACAGCAGTTGTTACGGCTGGGGTAGGAAGCAGCCACACCAAATTAACCAAAGAGTTCTCCAAAACTGGCAGAATGCAAGAACAATCTGCAAAAGCAGATTCATGAAAGAAAAAAAAAAACAAAAACAAATCCTCAACATATTTCCATAGTGGAAGGAAAAAAATGAGCTAAGATGTCAGTATTGCTTTCTATCAGATGTTCTATTAAGTAATAAAATCCCATTACAAGTATGAATTAAAGCTGTAATTTCTTTTCAGCATGCTGCAGAAATTATCAAAGACACAAGCGCTAGATGTCATCAGTATCCCTCACCGGAATTACTAACTAATTATGTAAAACGACACAAGGATCCTTATATCCTTACTCCTTCCAAGTGTGGAGCTCAAGTTTTGGCAATACTCCTCTCCTCAGACATCCCTTTCAAGCACTAGATATTTGCAGGGTACAGTTTGAGTGAAGCCTTAGTCTCTTTTTTGCAAAAATAATTTTTAATTGGTGTTACTAAATCTCCGTTTTGGGGGTCCCTTTATCAAATATGATGCTCAGTACAAGTTTATGCCTTCCAAAACATTGCCATGAGCACTGCCAGCTGAAAATCAAAACACAATTTGGCAGTTTAATAAACTGTTTGACAGAAGTGGCTGTTCAGTCAGAGACAGCAACAACATTTTGTTGTTSTTCCTGACTGTCTGATTTTAAAAGATAAAGCCCCTGATGACTTCTTTGACTTCTGAAAAAGTGGTGGAACCAGCAGAAAGGCTTGACATACTTGTGCATGTGCCAAGGCTCATGTACCACACACTTTGCAGTATAAAACAAATACCTAATGAGTGACTGCCAACAACATTTGCCATGAGTGCTTACACACTGACACAGTCACACTAAGAGATGTAGATAAGAAGATTTCAACTCACAGATCTAAGCATTCAAAGTTTGCCTCTTAGGCTTATAAAAAAAATGCTTACCCTTTCTCTCAAATGCTACAGAATTAACTCCTTAATAGCTTTAATCACATACTCATATAAAATCAATATACTACTGGCAAGTACTCCAGCCACCCAATTTGAGTTTTCCCAGAAGAAATGAACCTGACAAAATTCCTGCAACCTATTGCAGTTTATATTTAATTTTATTTAACTTTAGTTCACTGAAACAATGAGAATAAACTATTTAAGACMGTTTACATGAGTGAAGGAACAAAGGATGTGATTCTAAATACAAAGACAATGGGCAAAATAGTTAAAAAAAAGCTCATCTCTTTTTTAATGTGTTTTCATTGTTGTTCTTTGCTTTAAACCTGTTTCTGAGGCAAGACCTGCTGTTTCATGTCTTTGTATAAAACTAAGAATAGGTAAAGCAGCCTGGTGTCAACAAATTTTTCAAATTATTATTATGAAAAAAAAAAAGTCAATAATATTATACTAACAATTGGCACTGCAGCCTGTATCCTTGGTTTTAATTCTGTTTGAGGCTAAGGGTGCTTTAAATGCATTTTGGCTGCATGGGTGATGCTGCAACTGGAGGTAGCATCATTAACCCTTCTTCCCTCTTTAAGGCACTAATGCCTTCCCCTCACAACCCCTGGGGCACCTTCTTCCATTCACCAATATGTGATATATCAGTGACGCCACCACYTGTGGTGAAATAATCACATTAGGGAAGTGTTCTAGTTATTGTGTTTTAAATTTATGTAATGCAATCTGGCAACTTAAAAGAAGGAAGAACCAGCATTATGGGATCAGGCAGTTCACTGCATGACACCGATCAGAATTCATCTGCTGAAGGTGGAAGAAGGATCTTCCTACACAGGAAACTACCTAAAATTACACACAGGATACTAGAAATGTCACCAATTTCCTCTTCCAAGCCCTCCTCTTACCGTCAAAAGTAATTCTCCATTTAYCAGAACCCTCATTAAGGAATTCTTTATTTCCTGTATATCTTTGTGTTGATGATAAGGGAATGCTTGAAACAACAGTTTTCATGTTTTCTTGCAGAAGATTTGCCTTAGTTTGCCAAGATTTGGCTTGGTGCTCTGACTCTTGCTCCAGACTGGATAGAGACACCAGTGAACACCRGGCTCTAACTGTGCTCCTGAGGTCCTAACTCCAAAGTTGTCACACAGAAGAAACATATATAAACTACTTCTGTCTATCAATACATTCCATGCTGAAAGAACAATATAAAGCTAGAGCTAAGGGTTATTATTATTCACAATATTTTTTTAAAAACACAAACAATAAAYACAATACCAGAAAAGTTCCTAGGCAGTGGTGATGGAAATGTTAATATTATTTGCTTTCATGATGTATTCTCAGCACACTGTTTCTTATGTCAAAGACTGCAGGGAGCAGAGAGGTTGTTTATAAAGACTCTAACCCTTTGCTTTAATGGATGTAAAGGTATAAAAAGCAGAGAACTGGGCAGCATGCTTTAATTCCATTAATGTGGAGTTTTAATTCAGTTCAGTGAAGTGAAACCAGCTTTTTCTGATGCTGCCAACAGCTAAACTTCTAACCTAAATGAGGTTTTGCTTTCCTATGGGATTAATTAAAAGACCAGAGAGTGCTTTCTCAGTATTAATTTTATCTCAGCTACAAACAGCTTACTAATATCCAGTACTCATAGTCACTGACCCATAATAGAAGCATCAAACTAACCAACATCGTAAGTAAATAGGGAGCTTCAGAGAAAAGAACATTCAATCCTGCTGCTTACAGATCACCCTCAGGCAATAAAGCCACACAGAGTAACAGAGGCTTTCTGGGCACAGGCTCATCCAGCAGGGACTTGGGAGCGAATTAGCAACYAGATCTCATTTTTTAAAACAGTATCTCAACTTATTTTCTACAAATAGTTTTGCTGGGCTAAATAGTCCATGGAAAAAAGAAAAGATGTGAAATGAAGGATTTAATCCTTCGTTTTGAGAGGATCCTTTATTGACAATTCTTCCCTGAGAGGAAGAGTCACATCATATCCCTGCTCTGGTCCTCTAGACTGTCTTCTCCCAAACATACGAAGTCCACAAGGCTGCTCACCTCTTCCTTCCCCAAAGAACAACTGTAGAGAGGTGGTAGCTGCATTTCTTAACTTAAAATGCTTGAGTTGGTGCAGCACTAAATTAGCATCAATGTAGGAATACTGCAAGGAGGAACTGTGACTCACAGGACTGCTTCAGAAGGCAGTGGCTCCTGAAATTCAGCTAACAATACCCCTCTGCTAGCAGTGCACCTAACTTAGCACCTGTGTTCAAAGCCCTGAAATGTCCACTGATTTCGAATCTAAYTCCTTATAGGTAAGGTAATTGTCAGAGGTAACGATAAGCTTTGAAATATATGAAAAAATAAGCCTTATYTTAGATGGAATTTTTATCTTAGTCCAAAATATAATAGTTTGAACATCTGAAGAAGATTGGGACTGTATGGTGGGAGAATGAAAATCTTTAAGAATACTACTAWAAAAAAGCAGAGAGGTTATTGTTGGAT